GCACCAAGCAGGCCCAGCTTATGCCAGGAGTACCTAGGCATACGCGGCCTTTGTTGCTCATTCAAGGTTGTTGCTCATTCAAGGTTGAGGGTTTTGATAAGGGAGTCTGAATCCAAAACTCCTTTCCTGGGCTTTGTCCGCGAGAATGTCGAAGGAAATGAGGGAATGCTGCCCCAGTGGCTTCAGGCCCTAAGGGATAAAGATCGCAAACAAAGAAAAATGGTGTTCACACACGAGTTGTAGAGAAAACCTGCAGCACTCTGAGCCCCTTTAACCTGCCACGTGCTTCAGAACGCACCCCACCCCCCCCAAAAAAAGAAAGATAAGCATCTCTGTATTGCCCTATAAGGAAGAAGAGACGTGTTTTTTTTTGGGCATGGGGGGGGGGGGGGGGGCTTGTTCTTTAAGCAAATTAGTAGAAATCGAAGAGCTTCAGGCACTAGCTCAAGTCCCTGAAGCTGCAGTATGCTGGGCTAGGCACCCAGGGACAGCCACTGGCCTGGCCACTTCCGAACCCTAAGCCCTAAGCCCTAAGCCCTAAACCCTAAACCCTAAGCCCTAAACCCTAAACCCTAAACCCCAAACCCCAAACTAAACCCCAGGACCTGGGATCCTATCAGGGTTGGGCTTTAGGATTTTGGGGGCCTTTAGGGTTTGGAGGTGAGGGGCTTAACGACTTAGGTCTGCGGACTGAGACTTCTAAGCGAGGTTGGGTTTAGTGTGTATGACAGAGTCTAGGGTGTAGGGTTTAGGGTTTAGGGCTCAGGGTTCAGGGTCTCACAGACCCAAGAGCAACCTAGGAAAAATAATAGAAAGGGTACCCTTTTGGATTCAAGGGGCCAAACAGAGAACCTAATACTAAACAAAGGGAATAAGGGCATACTCTGGGTCCTAGTCAATGATGCTACTCACATCTTGCTTCAGCTTGCTACCAAACCCTGCACAGATTCCCCCTGCAAACAACAAGGCAGACACCCCAAACCTAGCATCCCCTAAACCCTAAACCCTAAACCCTAAACCCTAAACCCCAAACCCTAAACTCAGCCAACCCAAATTCCTCTGGCACCTGTCCCCTCTGCGAGTAGCCAGGCTCAAGAAGACAACAGGATAAAGTGACCGCATGGAGGGGACCATGCAACTGCCCACAGACCATGCAGGAACTTCTCAGTATTTCTTGAAGTCTTGCGCAGTCCCCTAAACCCTAAACCCTAAACCCTAAACCCTAAACCCTAAACCCTAAACCCTAATTGTTGGTGTCACCGCTTGTGTTGCCTTGCTGACGGCATGCCCAGCATGCCCATTTTCGCTCGCCTGATGATAGAGAATGCTTGCACGTCTCAGGCATGCGGTCTGGCATCCAAAGAAGTAATAACACCTGGGTGGGTTTAGGGTTTAGGGTTTAGGGTTTGGGGTTTAGGGTTTAGGGTTTAGGGTTTAGGGTTTAGGGTTTAGGGTTTAGGGTTTAGGGTTTAGGGTTTAGGGTTTAGGGTTTAGGGTTTAGGGTAGATATAGGGTTTAGGGTTTAGGGTTTAGGGTTAAGGGTTTAGGCTGTAGGCTGTAGGGTTCCAAAGAAGTGGGCCGGGCGGGCCATCGAAAGGCAGCTACACGTGTTCCCGGCTGATATGGAGCTTGGGCCCCCGGTACATCAGCACAATTGACGATTAGCAGCTGCGCGACTACACATCCTGATTGCACTGCGCCTGCAGGAAAGCTTGTGGAATCAGGCACGCCCGCCCAACAATATCACCTTCAACCCTAAACCCTAAACCCTAAACCCTAAACCCTGAACCCTATAACTACCCCCCCCCCCTCCCCCCCCTCCCCCCCCCACCCCCACCCTCCCCGCCCCTTGGCGAAGAGTGCCGGGCACGCGAGCGGTGGAGGTCTGCGACAGCTGGAACTGCACTGGCCTCATGGAGGGACCCCTAGAATAGACCCTTAATCCTATTCCCCTAAATAACCCATATATAACCCCATATATACCTTGCATAGCCCCCAAATGCCTAAGTAGCCCCTAAACGCTTTGCGTGAGTCAGGACGAAGCGAAGACGACTTGTTCGAACTTGATAAGTGGGATGTTGAATTTCGACTGTCGGGTCTGAGTTGCTTACAGCCTACTGCACATTACAGCCTACTGCACAGGGGCAAAGCTACTTGATCTCACTGCTTCGCACAGATCACCAGACATGTTTCTCACAGGGGGCCTAACTGGCAGATGATCACAAGGTGCCTACTGCCTGCTGACAACACAAAAACGCTCGCGGAACAACCTCCTGTTCGGTTGTATAAGATGTGTAAGGCTCACTCCAGCAAGCTTTGGGGGTAGCACGGCAGAGCGACCCTATTGGATCCTACCCCACAGACGTGTTAAGAGTGCGCAACTCAGCATCCGAACAGTCAGCCCCAAACCCAAACATCTCAGGTTGAGGGTGGAGTGGTTCAGGGTTCAAGGCCCTTTAACACCTAAACCATGAATCCCAAAGACCCAACTTCCGCATCGTGCTCCCCTAAACCCGAAACCCTAAACCCTAAAACTCCATCAACCTTATGCGTGCATGGATCGATCGGTCCCATGATCTACTGTCTGCTGAATAACCCCCCCAAAAAAACTACAAAATATTCTTCCTGATCATACGGGCAATATAGGGGTTCCCATTTTCACAAAGGTGTTTTGGGGGGCAATCAATGTAGGGGGTCTTCTCTTATGTCCTTTTTTGGGGGGTTCTAAAGCAAATCGCAGTACCCTAAACCCTACACCCTAGTGATTCGGGTCTCTTGGAAGCCCGGCGCATAATCCTCCGACGGCTTGAGCAAGGCGCTGCAAGGGATTCGTACCTGGGGGTGTGGTTGGTTGAGCACGGGGCTAAACCCCAAGCCCTAAGCCCTAAACCCTAAACCCTCAACCCTTTGCCAAACCCTAAGCCCTGAGCCCAGTTTGGGGCTACAAGGGTTCAAGGACTTGCTGTTGGATTTGAAGTGTCTTCAGGCAGAGAGCTTGCAAGTTTAATGCTTTTTGGGGTTTACAGGGTTTAGAGGTTCAGGGAGTTTATTGGGGGGGGGGGGGGCAGGGTAGACCCTGAAACCCGATGCTGCCAAGAGCGCAGGCTTCTATCCTATGCCCCTTTTTTGGTACAGCACCCAACTTCCCATCTTCCTGAACCTAAGCCCTGAACCCTAAACCCAAAACTCAAACCCTAAACTCTGGTATTCTAACCCCTCAAGAGAAGCTAGCGCATTCTGAGGCCTCAGGCGGGCATGACGTTGGGATCTCAGGAGTGCAATTGGAAACCCTGAACCCCAAAACCGCGAACTCCTAAACGCCCTGCACCCAAAACTCTGCGAACCTTAGAGCAACCCGCCTCCAACTCTCCCCCCCCCCCCCCCCGGGGAGGATCCAAAAACTAGAGCCCCCAAATAATGCCTGACAGTGCTACTGGGTCACTTTTAGGAACCCCCAAAACCCTAAACCCTAAAGCCCTAAAGCCCTAAACCCTAAACCCTTAAGGGTATCTACCTTGTGGTTCCTCCCAGGGGTCTGGGCAACCCCAGTGCTTTACAGGATGTGCGGCCGCTCAGGGCTGGGGAGCCTGGACCTGCTGCCAAAGCCTCGGAACCCGTTTCAGGCTTGGCAAAGGGTTTAGGGTTTAGGGTTTATAGGGTTTATAGGGTTTATAGGGTTTATAGGGTTTATAGGGTTTATAGGGTTTATAGGGTTTATAGGGTTTATAGGGTTTATAGGGTTTATAGGGTTTATAGGGTTTATAGGGTTTTTAGGGTTTACAGGGTTTACAGGGTATAGGGTTTAGGGTTTAGGGTTTGTCCATCCACCAAGGGCCCTGCCGAGTCTCCATTCTCTTCCAAAACAGAGATGGGTATCTCCTCACTGCAGCTTGGTATCTCTCGTTTAGGGTTTAGGGCTTCGGGGCCTATCGTAAGCCTGAGCCCCGTAGACGTTGGTGCGAAGAGCTTCGCTCGTACGCCTGCAGACCTCACTCGGTACCACGTGCCACCATATACCAGCACATACCACCACCACTAGTACGAACCACCAGCTGGCCCCAGCAGCACCAGCAGCACACACCTCCTATCACCACCACTACCACCACCGCCACGACGCACCGCTGCCTTCTACAAGAGCGACTCGAATTATACTGGAACACTCCTTACTTGCTGCTGCTGTTGTTGCTGCTGCCAGGTGCCGTTACGACTTCGTACCTCTGCCACCGGCAGCACGGCCTAAGGCTATGAAAACGGCATAGACGACGGCGAAAACGATGGTAGCCGCTGCTCCTCAATCCTATTCTGTCGCACTCATCTCAGCTGTTGGCGGCTGTCACTGTGCATCAAGGGCCAGACTTACAAACCCCTTGCAACGCTGACCCAACAACATGCTGCAAGATGTCCTTCAGAACCGCCTTGACGGAATCCTCAAACTCCTTCGCCAGGGTGAGGGCCGCTTTTGTGTGCGTCTGATCCTCAGAGCTTCAAGAGCTTGCAGCTTGCAGACATGCTCGAGAAACATGCTGATGTGGGAGGGGCTTGAGGGGATGGGGGGGCTTCAGAAAAAATGCCCGCAACAGCCTCCAAAAACCTACCACCCCCAACGCCCAGCCCTATTTCGCTTAAGGGACTGGGCATCAGGGTGCTTAAAGTCGGCCAAGCACATTTATGGGATTCCCGGCCTGGCTTTCAAGCTGCAACTTCCCGACAAGCTATATTCCCGGCGCTTATCAGAGCACCTGATTGTTGCACAATTCTGGGTTTCAGTTTTGTGCACAGGGTTGGGAGCTCGTGTAGGGGTGCCGAGATGCTCTTTTCGGGTTCGGGGGGGTGCGGCTTTAAAACTTTTAGGGTTCAAACAAGGAATCGTAAATGCCCAGAACGTGGATCCCAAACTGTCAGCCCCCCCGCGTCCCCACCCGAAGTTCACGGCATGCAATCCTGAATCCTGAACATCCCACTAAACCCCATAAATTCTATAAACCCTACAAACCCCATAAACCCTGTAAACCCTGAAACCCCAAGGGGCACAGGGACATTGAGTTTGGGTTTTCATATTGGGGCTTCGCCTTGTGAACTGGAGAGATCTACCGTCGTACTTGGCCCCTCACCCCGAAGCTCGTCTGGTTGGTCTCAAAGTAGCAACACTTGGTGACCTGCGCTCTGAGGGGAGGTGAGGTAGCAGTGAGGGTTTAGGGTTTGGGGTTTCGGGTGCCCACGCAGAGCTTGGGCCGCCCCCCTACAATTGGGGGGGAGGGGTTTAACCCTTCGACTTCGATGGCGCAAACCCACCCAGGCCGTTCGCGCGCCTCCCACAGGTCAGTAAGTATGCCCGGCGAATTCGGGACCAGTGGTACCCCAAAAAGGTGCCCCCAGTTCGAAACCTTTTTGTGTCATCACAGCAACCTAAAATGTTGTATCTGCTTGAGCGGGGGCCCCCTGTTTAAAGTCAAGTTTGCCGTATTCAGGACCCTGAAGCCAATTTTAAACCGATGCCCTTGCCTCTTGGCTTAAAGGCCTGCATCTCAAAGGCAGGCCTCTTTTCCGCCCGGAAGAGCCGAAACCAAGAATTCCCTTATAAACGCCATATCACAAGTCTCCGTCAATCCAGCAAAGGGTGGCCCAGGAGCCAGCCTAACCTCGAATCATAGGCACTATGTCCTGGCCGCCCATATTTACATAAACTCATTCCCATTAGAATCATACACACACCAGTGGACCATATCAGGAGCAAAACCCACGTTCGGGGGGGGGAGGGGGGGGGGGGATGAACACTCTAAAGAAGGTACAACATTGCTCTGTTCCCCGCTAACAATCACAGCAACCTCACAGCCAAGATCGCAAACCAAAGACCTGCGCAAACGAAGCCGAGGTATTCGCATTGGAGGAAGTTGGGTTGATTGTAGAGACACAAAAAAGAGAGAGAGAGAGAGCGAGCGAGCGAGAAAGCGTATAGGGTCCACGATGTATCAACCTGGGTTTGGGTGTCAATGCAAAAGCACACTAGCAGAATGAGGGCTTAGCAAGAGGTGCTCTGAACTACACAAGCGCCTAAGAGTGCAGGCCTTACCGAGTGAAAAGGGCATGTGCATGTCCCTAAATAGGGGCACCCCTCACACGCCTTAAATCTTAGAAAAGTTACATGGTCCCTTAGTATGGGCCCGAAAAAAGGGGACCCATGATAAAACCCCCTATATACCCTATAAACCCCAAGACCCCTTCCTTACGGACCCTTTAAAGAGGGTAAGGGACCATGTTAAGGGCCGGTAAAACTACCCTTAGATGAATGCACTCCGAAATATAACCCTAAATCCTAAACCGAAGGTGCCTAAACCCTAAACCCTAAACCCTAAACCCTAAACCCTAAACCCTAAACCCTAAATCCTAAACCGAAGGTCCTTGCCTGACCCCTTCTTCGAACGAATCGCGATTGCGCCTGAGAGTGCAGAAAAGGGGACTCATGTCTGAACAGCTGTGGCTTAGGGGCGGTTTAGGGTTTAGGGTTTAGGGTTTAGGGTTTAGGGTTTTAAGGGCTTAGGGATTTAGGGATGGTTTGGGGTTTAGGGGTTTAGGGTTAGCTTCATGCCTACCCTTGAAGCCTCGACCGCAGCAGCTTTCATTGTTTAGGGTTTAGGGTTTAGGGTTTAGGGTTTAGGGTGACCAACAGTGTGCAACCAAACTGCGGATCCAACCTCTTTGCAGAGATGCTGGATAGCCCTCTTCCTTCACAACAAGCCACAGATGCTCGTCCCGACGCCGAAAAACTTAACCCTAATTAACCCTAAACTCGGCACAAGCTCGGAACTCTGCACCCCCGAAGCCCGAATCCTAGGTTCCACGCTGAACGCTGTAGGTTTGAGGGTCGCTTGGGCACCCTAAGCCCCTCATGTATCTTCTCACATGCACCCGAGGGTTTGGGGCTAAGGCCCTGGAGCTCTGAAAACGCCCCTAAGCCCTAAACCCAAACCCAAAACCCTAAACCCTAAACCACAATGCATCCATGGAATCGGAAGCTGAGGGAGGCGGACGCTCAGCATATCAAGGGCCATCGTAGCATCTGTATGACGCTTCCCGTCCTCAAATCCCACGTTGAGGGTTCAGAGGAGGAAACACCCTAAACCGCAACCTCTAAACTCAAAACCCTAAACCTTGCTAAATCCTGAGCCCCGAATCCAGGGAGGGATATAGGGTCCAGGTTTGTTTTCGTATGAAAATAAGTTTGTCATTGTGGTTTTTCGGTCGCAAACCTGTAAATAGCAGCAGTTCTGAGTTTGCAGTGGCTGCAAATACTGCAGCATCATTTCTGAGTTCTCGGTGGCTGCACAAACTGCAAATAGCAGCATTCTGAGTTTTCAGAGGCTGCACATACAGTAAATAGCAGGATTTTCGAGTTGCACAGGCTGCAAGTACCGTAAATACCAGCATTTCTGAAGTCCAGAGGCTGCAAATTCTGTAGAGGCTGTCCCGTCCCAGCACAGGTGCTTGGCTTAAGGTCTTCCTTTGTCAGCTCTCTAACGGGTTTTGTTCAGCATGACTTCAGGGTGACCGAAAGGGTGGACCCCCAAAACTCGCAGAACAAAACGCCTAAACATGGTCCTCTTGTGCACCCAATACGTGAGGTTTAGGGCCTAGGGTGGCAGGGTTTGGGGAGGTGGGGTCTGAAGGTGGCTTTGGGACTTTTCGAAGGCGTTGGGGTTCATAGGGTTTATGGGGCTTCTAAGGTCTATAGGTCTTCTTTGTTCTCCAGAAGGGGGGGGGGGTGTTGTAGCGGGCTTGGTGGGCTTTTGGGATGCCGGGCTCTCTGTAGCTTTAAAAGCCTTCAAGGTCTAGAGCCTTCGGGGGCGGGCATTGAAGTTAGCTTATCAGCCCAGCCCATCTAGGGTTTTTTAACGTGAAAAAACCCTAAATGCAAGCCTAACCCTTAGCTTTGGGTGTAAGGGCTGGGCTGACACTACGCCGCCAGTCCCCAAAGCTCTGGACCCCAAACACTGCAAGCCCTTCAACTTAGTAGCCCAGTAACCATATTATCATCAGGGCACCCTTTTTTTGGTTGGTTACTTGATAAGGGAACCCAGAACCAAAAAAAAAAAGGTAAAGGGTACCACTGGGTTACCGTCCCAGGAAATACCCTACTACCTTCCCTAAACCCTAAACCCTAAACCCTAAACCCTAAACCCTAAACCCTAAACCCTACTACCTTAAATCCCAAGTAATCTCTCCCGCGGTCCTCGAGCCAGTTCTTGGAGGTCTCCCAGCTCTTCTGTGCCCTTTGGTCGTCCTTAGACGAACCCAACACATGGTTTAGGGTTTAGGGTTTAGGGTTTAGGGTTTAGGGTTGGGCTTCGGTCTCGCATGGTTTGGGATAGCTAATTCCTGAAAAAATCCTGAAGCCGTAGGTGAGCCCTAGTGTGTGGCCAGCAGAGAGGACATGGGAGATTCTCTTTTAGGGTTTAGGGTTTATGGTTTAGGGTTTAAGGTTCCTGCTCTGGGCAGCCCATTATAAGACGGATCCGTTTAAAACGTGTACCCCACACGGGACCAGAATCTAGCATGTATTTCCATCAGCTACGAGACTTCATGTAGACTTCCATGAGCTGATGTTGCACGCCATTACCCCTAAACGTAAAGGGGTTTAGGGTTTAGGGTTTAGGGTTTAGGGTTTAGGGTTTAGGGTTTACTATTTATCCGAAGGCCCGATGTAGGCAAGCTATAGGAGCGCGCATCTGGCCAGTTTGAAGACTCTGCGATAGAATCGAAGCGCAGTCTAGGGCAGAGGCCATGCAATCGCAATTTGCACTGCAGAGACCTCAGGCCAGAAAAATGGTTTAGGGTTTAGGGCTAGGGTTTGGGGTGCTGCGGCTGTCAGCTGGATGAGTTCGGGGTGGCTCCTGACTACCTGGGACCCTTCTTCCCCACCTTTTTTTGGGTTCTACCTACTAATTTAGGGGTGGTTCCTACTCAACTGTAGGTAAACAGAGTCGCAGGCGAAAAAAAACAGTCGGTTTCGGGCTTCAAAAATACGAAGGAGCAGCGGGACAGCAAAAGGTGTGCGCGCAGCATCAGCATCCCTGTCTTCAGTGCATACTGGAGCAAAGGGCTCTGGAGTTTCTTTGCGCCCAGGAAGCCCATAGAAGAAGAGGGCTTAGGATTTAGGCTTTAACAGGGCTTCTAACCCTGGAAAACCACACACACACACCCACACGCACACGCACACGAACACGCACACGCACACGCACACGCACAGCACACGCACCCACCCACCCACCCACCCACCCACCCACACACACACACACACAAAACAAAAAAAAAACTGAACCCTGAAACCCAAGCCCGAAGCCCCCAAACTCCAAAACGGGTTGTCAGCTCCAGACCAGGCGGGTCGGCACACCCGTAGCCGGGTGGATAGTCCTTCCGTGGCTGAGCTTTCCCGTTGGAGAAAGGTTTAGGGTTTTTTGGGTTTAAGTAGGGTTCAGGGGGTTTGAGTTTACGGTCAACGCCTGGAAACCGTAGGGTTCAGGGGGTTTGAGTTTATGGTCAACATGCAACGTCTGGAAACCGTATGCCGGCAATGGAGAGCAGCACCAGCACAACAACGACAGCAATCCATGAAAGTTTAAACCCCTAAGGGTCCATGTACCTTGTTATTATGAACTTGGGCCTTAAAGTCCCTAAATAGGAGGTACTTTAAGGTCCAAGTATTCCCTATTGAGGTACATGGACCCTTCGGGAACCGTAAACCCGAAACCATACATGCCCCGAAGAAGCTTCAACCTGACTTTCACTTACGCCTCCTAAACTTGTCCACGGTCGTCCGGGCCGCTACATGTTGGGCGTGTGACGTCTTGGTGGGAAGGCAACAGTACTTGCGGCAACACGCCCGCTGCTTAGGAACAAACCCGGTTACAGTATATGTATTTATATATATATATATATATATATATATATATATATATTAATAATATATATATGTATATATAATATAACATAAAAAATATCGGCCTGAACAAATAAACTCAATTTAGGTCGTATGGCCCCCCCGCTAGGGGCACGTCTTTTGGCCCTCCCTAAGTCCTCCTACAAACCCTAGAACCCTGGAACCCGACATCCTAAACCCTGAACTCGAGACCTTAATCAGTCTTTTGACTAAAGTCAAGCTCGGTGACTGGGTGCCCCTTCATTTTTCTTTGCTGGGAGGCTGGGGTTTAGGCTTTGGGGTTTAGGGTCTAGGATTGGGCTATAATCCCCACTAAGGACTCTTCTTTTTTCAGGAGACTCGACACGCCTCTTCATCCCTCCCCCGCCCCCTTCCCCCCCCCCCCCCCCCCCCCCCTTCCCCCCGCCCACCTCCCCCCTCCCCCGCCCTCCCCCGCCCTCCCCCGCCCTCCCCCGCCCTCCCCCGCCCTCCCCCGTCCCCAAACCCCGCCAACCTGGTCCCGCATTGCATCCCTGCTAGAGGATCGGTTTCGGGCTTACAGCTTTTTGTTCAGGTTGGGATGTTCCCCCTTTGTCTAACAATCCTGAATGAATACTAGTATAAGGAGGAACATCCCAAGGCTGAGGGTTCAGGGCTTACAGGCTTGAAGTTTGGGGCTCAGGGCTTGGGGTTTAAGGTTTAGGGTTTTGGGTTTAGGGTTTAGGGTTTAGGGTTTAGGGTCGCGTCCTCGGCCTTCTTTGGCCACCCGGTTCGGACGTCAGGGTCTGAGCCATGGCTGGGAAGCTGCTGTTTGGAGTTCAGAGTTTAGGGTGCAGGGCTTACCCACAATAACGCTGTAAACCCTAAACCCTAAACCCTAAAACCTACACCCTAACCCCTAAACCCTAAACCCCGAGAAAGGAAGGAACTCAGTAGGAAAATCGAAAGCCGAATGACCCTTCCCTTGTCCGAGGCGGTCGAATCTTTGAATTTTGGCTGGGTGCTGCTTCGGGGTTTAGAGTTTCGGGGTTTCCGGGACTTAAACCCCAACCCGAAGCTTTAAGGGCCTGACGTGCGTGACCTTTTAGGCATAAAGCCAGGTAAACCCTCTGGCGGAAAATGATTTCGGGCACAGATCCCCAACTATACCCAGAAGTCACAACAAACTGCGACAGTCGTAAACCTTCAAAACAAGCCCCCAACGTTTGTTGATCCAAGTTAGCATTTCGCTTCGTCCGTAATTTAGATCACTCCTCACCCTCCCCCCCGCCCCAGCCTCGGCTGGCTGAAAAGACCTAGCTAAGAGCAACCTGCTCCCTGACAAAAGCATTCACGTTGACCAGTGAGCGATGATAAAAAGGATAAAACCCTGAACCCTAATCCAGAACTCCCTTGGAGCTGAGGCTGCGTCTGTTTATTTTTGGCGGGTCGAAGTCATGACCACGCTTCAGACGAAACCTGGGGTTTCGGGCTTCACGGGTTTAGGGTTTACTGGGTGTAGGGTTTCGCGTTTAGGGTTTAGGGCTACTACTAGAAACAATCAAAGTTTACAGGGTTTAGGATTTAGGGTGACGGTTTCAGGCTTGCTTCTTGGAGGCTTTACATCGAGGATGTTTGGGTTGGCGGACAAGGAGCTTCAATTGGAGAGACTAGGATGGCCCTCAACGCCGTCTGAAAAATCTTCCTACATGGGGGTTTTAGGGTTCAAGGTTTAGGGTGTAGTGGTTTGGGGTTTGGGGTTTAGGGTTTAGGGTTTGGGGTTTGGGGTTTAGGGTTTTCGAAATTAGGGGTACCTGGGGTACCTTATTGGGGTCCCGTGTTTTTGTAAACTCCCGAATCTCGGAGAAAGCAAGAGGCCGCATGTTGCGTGTGGAAGTCTAGACAAGTTGACGAAGGATTTAGGATGTGGAGTGCAAGCACAACTTGTCGCATAAGAAATGACGCCCCCCAAACTGCATAACTCGCAAGAGGGCTTACCTGGGACCCTAGTTACCCGCAGCATTCTGGGTTCTACCTACTAATTTAAGGGGCTAGATACTACTAAGCGGCAGGTAAATAGAAACCAGGAAGGGTTTTGGGGTTCTTCAGATGAACTTAAACTCAGCTGGCATGAGCCGGATTTGTGCTATACAAAATTAGTCCTTCAATATTGGTAGCAGCTTCGAAGCTCCTTAACAACCCTATAAGCCCTGAACTGAAACATCCATGAAGCTCCGCACGTTTTTTAGGGTTTCGGGTTGTGGGGTTTGGGGTTTGGGGTTCGGTTTGGGGTTTGGGGTTTAGGGTTGAGGGTTTAGGGTTTAGGGTTTAGGGTTGAGGGTTTAGGGTTGAGGGAGCCTACTCTGCAGCAGACTGAGGGCAGCGCATGTCTTGGATAAGTGGAGTGCCGTTGCGCCTTTCAGCTTTCAGGCGTCGAGGCATAAGAGGCCCATTTGGATTGTAAGGGTTTAAACCCTGAACCCTAAACCCTAAACCCTAAACCCTTTAGGCTTTAGTGGGATGATGTCAGTAACTCTTTCGGCTTGTGCCATTCTTGCCTCCGCAAAGGCCCCTTCCGGCACTGGAATGCTGGAAGACAGGGTGTGGGCCTAGAACCCTAAACCCGAAACCCTAAAACCCTAAACCCCAAACCCTAAACCCTAAACCCTGTCGAGCTGTGGACTAAGGGGTTTCGGGCTCATGACATTGGCAGCAGACTCTTCATGTGATATTGAGTGTTGAGGGCAGAAGGCTTCTTGAGGGTTTCCGAAAATAGTAGGGGATAGGATTAGGGGGACCCGTGGGGATATAGACCCTCTCAATAAGGTCCCTCTTTAAGAGAGCCAGAAGAGGGTTCAGAAGGGCTCCCTTTTAAGGGTCCCCTTTATCCTACCTAGGAAATAGGGTTTGGGTTTCGGCAGCACTTCTACAAGCTGGGGCCTTACTTTGGTAAACGAGTGTACCGGGTTTGGGGCTCAGGGTACAGAAAGCACAAAGATCTACGAGCTGAGCTGGGAGCCGAGTGTACCGGGTTTGGGGTTTAGGGTTTAGGGTTTAGAACTTTACGAAGACTTTGTAGAGATCACAGGCCTAACTCTTCCACAAGGCACGGACGGCGACTCACTCTCCGGCTGGTCTGCACTAGCTCAACACCAGCAGCGTTTACGTCTATCGGATGTCACGCAACCCTAAACCCTAAACCCAAAACCCTAAACCCTCCTGAAGGAATCTGGCAGGGACCTGTACCGTCCCATCTTTGGAGGAGGCGGCGGTGGTTTCTCCACCTGTGCTTACGCCTTACCCTAAGGTATGCAGGGTTTAGGGTTTAGGGTTTAGGGTCTAGGGTTCAGGGTCTCCGTGGGGCGCCTTTTCGGTTCAAGGGCCTGTACAGGACCAACCCTCCTCCTCAACCCTAAACCCAAGTCAGACAAAGCCCCATTCAACCTTAAGATTCTTTTCCAAGCACCCACGTCCCAAAACCCAAAACCCAGTAAACGACGGAAACGCCTTTAGGCTTAAGGGTACAACTGGCCAAAATCCCGGGTTTTCAGCTGCTGGGGGGTTCCGACGACCCAAAGCCCCCCCCCAAGACCCGAAAAGCCCGAAAACCCTACCAGCCGAAATGGGTTCAGGTTAGTCCCAAGGTTACCCCTTATGCCCCAAATAGAGTATAGTCCCCAGAAAGGACCTTCAAACAGGTGCCCTACCTTTCGGAAACCCCCTCCTATGGGGTTTCCGCAAATAGGGGTTCCCTTTTGGGGGGGGTGCCTTGAAGCGGAGTCTATTCTATTTGCGGGTAGAAAGAGGTCCCCCGAGGTTTAAGGGTTTAGGGTTTAGGGTTTGGAAGGGGCCGGTGCTGCGCTTCGTTGAGCAAACCTGCCGCCAAAGGGACTTGTTGTCGTATTGTTGGGGTCCGCAGCACCGCTTATTTCCAACGGCAGGCGCCCTAAACCCCAAACCCAAAACCCTAAACCCTAAAACCCAAACCTCCAAGTGCTTTGGGTGTGGGGCAGGGGCTGATTTTTGTCAAGGCCCCGAAGAAGCCAACAATAAGGCAAATAGAGAACATACAGTAGGGAATCCAAAATCCCAGCCCCGAGCCCAGCATCTTGCCCTAAACAACTCCTAAACCCTAAACCCTATAAATGTCCTAAACCCTTTAAACCCCCCAAAGCCCTAAAAAGCTTGAACCCTTTAATCCCCCTAAACCCCCCTAAACCCTGAACCCTAAACTCTATAAGCCACGGCCTCTGGTGGGCTCCCCCCATCCAGGAGCTTCGGTGAGCCCTCATTCCGGGGACGCTTCGACTGGCAACCAAGATTCAGACATCGGGGTTTTAGGGTTTAGGGTTTAGGGCTAGGGTTTAGGGTTTAGGGTTTAGGGTTTAGGTTTTAGGGTTTAAGGGCTTTAGGGTTTTAGGGTTTAGGGTTTACGGCGTAGGGTAGCGTTTTAGGGCTTCAGGGTTTCAGGTTTTGGCCATAGTCGGAATGACCCGGTTTTTGCTTCGCCCTGTTTCACCGATCAAGGAACCTAAGCCAATGAAAACGGGCTACTAAGAGTCCCACATGGTCCCCAACAGAGTGTCGACAACTGACCAGTTCTTAGTAGGGAATTCGGGAAACAAGTACACCATTATACCCACGAAAGAACCAAACCCCAAACTCCTACTACCAAAACATAATTAAAGAGGCTGTAAGGGACGAGGGTGTACGTGCCCATGATTATTCCCCACACGAGGCCTCAATAAAGGAAGAAGGGGCTCTTACACCCTTACACCTAGGGTTTAGGGGAACTCTAAAGCCCTGAAGAGCCCATGCAAGGGGACACGACTCTGCTCTCAGCCTTTCTAGAACCGTTAGGGTTTAGGGTTTAGGGTTTAGGGTTTAGGGTTTAGGGTTTAGGGTTTAGGGTTTAGGGTTTAGGGTTTAGGGTTTAGGGTTTAGGGTTTAGGGTTTAGGGTTTAGGGTTCAAGGTCTAGGGTTCAGGGTTCAGGGTTCAGGGTTCAGGGTTCAGGGTTCAGGGTTCAGGGTTCAGGGTTCAGGGTTTAGGGTTTAGGGCTCCCAAGGCAAAAGCCCCCCCCCCATGCGTCCTTTGCCGCGGCGGCTCCCTGGGAGTCCCCGTTGCTCTCTTTCTGCTCCTTGGGAGGGACAATTTGGAAGCTTTGGGTTGGGATGTTCCCCCTTATACTCACAGTCCTTATATAGGGATGATAATAGGGGGTACTATAATCCCGATTAGGATAGGGCAAAATCCCCAGTTTTGAAACCCTCTTGGCTTTGGTGTTAACCCGGAGTTAACCCTAATAATCCTTAAACGCTATAAACCGACGGGCTGCGGGGGCTCAGTGTTGAGGATCCTTGGTGTTTCGGGAATTTTAAGGGTCTTGGGGCTATTTTTGCCATACTTAGGGGTCCAGGTATCCCGAACCCCCTAACCCTAACCCCCAGACGAATCCCGATACATGACCCCAAATCCAATTATACGGTTCTTACGGGAGGAACCCTAAACCCTAAACCCTAAACCCTAAACCCTGAACCCTAAACCCTAAACCCTAAACCGGTTCCCCTGTGGGTAGGCACCTAGGGAACCTTAAACAAGCTTAGGGATCCTCAGGGAAGGCCCCCCCTTAAGAACCCCAAACAGGCCGCGGAACATGAAAACGACAAAGACATTGAAAGGCCCCCCGAATCCCTCCCAGGATTTTTGCTTACGGGGTTACTATTCTTTGCTTCAGAACCACCCGAATACTGAAATATACTCTTCCTTAAAGGACAATATAGGGACCATTATCTTCTATTTTTGGGGGGTTCTTAAACAAATAATGGATTAAGCATCGAGTAACGTGCCGCAAACCTTCGTAAGGGCTCTCGGGCACTTATGCCAACCCTAAACCCTAACCCTAAACCCTAAGCCCTAAACCCTGAACCCTAAACCCTAAACCCTAAACCCTAAAACCCTAAACCCTAAACCCTAAACCCTAAACCCCAACTACGTCCTGCTCGCGCTTGCGCTTGAGCCACTTTCCCTTCTCACGGAGCCGAAGGCCCTTAGGGAGGCGCTTGAGGTGTCTGAGGTCTTTATCTGGGACCCTAAGCCCTAAACCCTAAACCCGAAACCCTAAACCCGAAACCCTAAATTACCATCGCTTTTTATGGGTCATACCTACTATAATGAAGGGGTAGCTACTACTAAACTGTAGGCAAAAAAGAGTCCCAGGTTAGCACCCTAGACCCTAAATGATAAACCCAACTTTCTGCAAGGCGTCGACGAGATCCGCCCGCAGGCTTTTGGTCAGAGGAAAACGTGCGCGAGGTCGTGCACAGCAGGCGGGGGCCCCGAGGGTCTTCTTTCGGTTGGGGTTCGGTTTCGTTCTCTTTGTTTTTTTTCATTGGTAGCGGAGCCTAGGCCGCGGTCCTGGGCTAGGCTGGTGGTTCGTTGGTTTGTTTGTCTTGTCTTCCCTTGTTTGTTCTCGTCTTGTTTCGTGGTGGGAGGTGTAGGCAAAGCCTGTGTGCAATGGCTTCGGATGGCCATGCGCCTACTGCCGGGCAAGACAGTGCAGCACCAGATCAGCATGCACCCTCTCTTGACACGAATGTGCCTGCGGCAGATCCTAGTCCTCACATGACCGTTGACGGGCGTCAGGGTGATCCTTGGCGTCATGATGATCCTTGGCGAACTTGGGATCGCTCGCATGGGGCCTGGGGACAGTCTACTTGGCGTAGCGCTGGGTGGTGGACTGGAGATGGCTACTATGGCGGGCGGCAGTGGTGGTATGATGCCTGGGATGATAGGGATGGTGCTAGGCGTCCAAGTGGGGGTCAAGATTCCGGCCATTTTGGCAGGAACGATCAACGTGATGCAACAGATCCGTGGGCCCACTACCAAGGTCCTCCTGAGGGACAGGCCGGTCGTCCTGATGACCAGGCCTCCGATGGCTCGGCCAGGGTTGGGTGAATCTCGTGGGAGTGGTGCCAGCGAGGCACAATCGCCAGGTAGCGGTGGCCGATGTGACTATGGAGACCGAGATGCACAGGGCCCAGATAACAATCGTGTTCCTGGTCCTGACAGAGAGCGGAGAGGGAGCCTTGGGAAACCACTTCCGGGACTTCCACGACCACGCCCCCGCTCCCTACTACGACCTCGAAAGAAGGCCAGGACTTCAAAGGTGGCCTGAGTGAGCGGATGGCCGTGCCGAGCTTTTCGGCAGACAAGACGGGGGATGAGCTTGGCAGCTCAGCCCGCTCGTACCTGAGGCAGATCGATGCCTGGTGCAAGGTGACGAGAACTCCGGCGTCGCAAAGAGCCCTCTTGCTTTACCAGAATCTTAGCGGAAGAGCGTGGGTGGAGTCTGAAGAGCTCAGTGTCGAGTTGTTGGCCTCCGAGTACAGCGTGCAGGAGTTTAAGAGATGGATCCAGGAAAGGTACCAGGAGATCGAGGTGTCGAAGATAGCCGAGGCCTTGACTCAGTTCTTCAAGAAGCTGAGACGTGAAGGAGGTCAGAGTATCCGTGAGTTCAACTCAGCATTCGACCGTGGCCACACCCGCTTATTGGAGATCGACTGTCGCCTCCCTTGAAGTCGCAAAGGCCTGGGCGTACTTGAATGCCCTCGGCCTCACGAGTGCAGAGGAACTTGCCCTCCTTGCTTCCGTGGGCAATGAGTACAATACGGCAAAGTTGCAGAAGGCAGCAGTCCTCCACGAGAAGTCCTTTAAGCCCCCGTGGTTCGTGAGGCGCAACGGCAACGGCAATCCTGATGGGGGCAAAGGAAAACCTGTGCGAGGTGCCTTCTTGACCGAGATTGACGAGGACGACATTGCCGAGGAGGAGACAGAGCACCTGATGACCGAGGAAGAGGCCTCTGAGATGCACGAGGCGTTCATGGCTCAGGAGTCAGCCAAGGCCCGGTACAGGGAGATCACGAAGGCTCGGGGAGTGGATCCTAGTTTTCTTCGCAAGGATGGTTCCAGGAACGAAGCCAGCAACAAGGATACTCCTGAGGCCAGGTTGCAGCTTGCCAAAAGTCGCTCGTATTGTGCTGGATGCCGCCGCAGGGGGCACTGGCACAAAGACCCAGAGTGCCCAATGAATCAGCCTGGAGGCCAGATGACGAAGCCTGGTGGTTCCTCGGGCGCCAAGGACAGCTCCAAGGAGGCGTTTGTGGCGCAGGTTGCCTATGAGGTCGGCTACATGGGTGGTCAGGGCTTGGTCGCCATCACCGACTCCGCATGCAGTAAATCTGTGGCGGGACAGGCGTGGCTCCAGAAGTACATGTTGGCTGGCCGGGAAGCGGGCCTTGAGATGCAGTTCATCGACACCCAGGACGACTTCAGGTTCGGGGCCTCCAAGCTTTTCCGGGCTACCTTCACTGCCACGATTGCGATCTTCGTTGGTGGACGCGGCTTCTTGGTCAGGGCTTCCATCGTCCAGGGAGAGGTCCCCCTTCTCCTGTCAAGAAACGTCCTGAGCAAGATTGGCATGCTTTATGATGTTGAAGGACACAGCGCCTCGTTTCGTCACCTTGGAGTACAAGATCTCAAGCTCCTCACGACGGAAAATGGACATCCGGCTATTCCCGTACGAGTGAAAGGGCTCCCGACGTTTGCTCCCCCAACGCCCCAGGAGCGGGCCGGGGACGAAGTGCGACTCCTTCCTTCCAGCGAGTCTCACGCCGCATACATGACCATGACATGTGAGAGTAGTGAGAGGGCCTCTGCATCAACCTTTGCTACTTCCAGGAGCTGTGAGTCAGCATGTGTTGCCGATGGAGGTGCCGATCGGAACCTCTCCCAGCCCTTCGAGACTATCTTTTATCCGAAGAAGTTATCGCCCTTTGTCTTCAACTTCTTGAGTGCCGAGGCTTTGAACACTGATGTTTTCATGCGTTGGTGGAGTGAGACCAAGCTTGCAAAGGACTTCTGGATAGAAACGGCTTCTTCTTTCATACGAATACACGTCATTCCCCGGAAAGCACTGTTCTCCCCCGATGCATGGCACACAAGTCAGAGCAACGTTCGAGATAAACTCCTCCACAACGCCGGGTCGTTCCGAAGCACCACTGCTATAGCATGTCAGTCCTTGCAACTCCTTCCGAGTCGACATGACGCATGGCAGAGTTCACCCGAGTCAGCCCATTCAGCTCTTTGGGTCGGTAGGACTGTGTTCCCTCGTACCCCTTTTCAGAGCAGCAGTTCGGAACATGTCGTCGCAGAAGGCCAAGACGCTCTGGAACATGAGCCGGAGCGAGTTGGTAGAAGAAGCTCATCGGCTGGAAGTGCCGATACACACTACATGGGGCAAGGAAGAGATACGTCAGCTGGTGTCAGAGAAGAGAAAAGAACTACATGGTCCATCCAGCGTCCCGAGAGGTCTCTCTTCAATGACGATGCCCGAGCTAGTCAAGAAGATGGACGAGCTGCAGATCCCGCTTCCACCGAAGCCCACCCGAGGACTCCTTCAGAGGATCATACGAGACTCGACAAGAGATCTGTCGGAACAGATCGTGACGTTCGGGAGGTACAAGAACTTGCTCTTCAGAGAACTCCCACATTCGTATCTTCGCTGGAGTCTTCAGGAAACAGCAGCGCAGGGATCGGGGGCGTCCCACGAGTTGAGGCAGCTAGCCAACTTTGCCCAGAAGGTCCTCAATCCTCAGAAGGAGACGTACCACGACCCAGAGATGAGTGCTGCAATCCCTTACCAACCGGATCCAGAGGAGACGAGTTCGACCTCAACGAAGTGGTCTTTGGTGACGGGGACTTCGGAGGCCATGGCAAGCGGGTACAATCAGGGCAAGAACCATGTCCCGACAGCGAAGCAGATGGGAGCCAAGCGCGGCATCGAATCCGAGGAGAGCAAGATGGCCCAGGACACTCCCCCGGAGGTACGAGAGGAACTCGAGGCACTAACCACCAGGATCGCCCTGCTCAAGGAGAAGCATGGAATGTGATTCTCTCGTGTGATGTTGACCTCGACAACGACGCTAGTGCCGAAGGGGTCCTAGATGTGTGCGGTATGGAGGCCAATGCTACCGGGGCCCCTGAAACCTTCTATGAGTGTCGAGAGTCCAGTGCCGAAGAGCTACCTCTTGAAGTCGTTGCACAAGACCTTTTGCGCACCAAGGATTACAGCTTCGAGAGTTGTGAAAAACTGGCCCGCCGAGTGTGTGAACATGCTAGGAACAGTAGACGAAGGCAAGCTCATGGGGAACAGGGGAGCTCGATTGCTTTTGGGGCCTATAGTCATGGTAACTTCCACGGCATCATTAAGAAGACCTTCGACCATGTCTATGTTGTGCGCTACATGAATGCTTTCTTGCGGGCACATGGGGCCAAGGGTACCTGGAGTTCCCTCCAGATCAATGTGAACTGTCGTCCTCTTGTACATCGTGATCAGCACAACCATAGCGACACCCTTGCAAGCACCATCTCCTTCGGAAATTTCCGCGGCGGTCGTCTGTGGATAGAAACGGATCCTGAAGCCCAGGTGCCAGAGATCGGTGTCCCCCACATTATGTCAGATGGCGAAGGGCGTGCTCTTTCAGGACACCTTGTCGACACTCGTGCGCTCGTGAAGTTCGATGGTCGTCGTAAACATGGCGTAGAAGAGTGGGAAGGGGATCGTATCAGCATTACTGCTTACACAACACGTGGGGTGTCGCAACTGGCACGACAAGAACGGGACATGCTGAGAAGTTTTGGTTTCCCCGTTGGGCAGGATACCCCCACGAAGATCGCCGTTGAGGACAAATCCTGGAAAAACGAACACGTCCGGCGACCCAAGAAGAGCATCAGAAGACAGATCATGCGAGGGGCTAGCCGAGCAAGTGCACTGTTGACCTTAAGTATGACGGCAGCTTCGAGTTACGTCGCCGAGGTAATGCTTCCGAGTTCATCCCCAGACAGACCATCAATCCTGGAAATTGGAGATTTCGCTGCTACCTACACCCTTGCAGGAAACGGCAGCTCAGTCATAGAACCGGTCTCGTGGGAGGATTTTGTCAACGATTCAGATTGCCAGAGAGTTCTCGAAACCATACATGCCCTACACCCATGTGTTGTCTGGATTCGAGGTCACGACGAGATCACCGATGCCAAGTCCAACGAAATCGCATCCCAGGTCTTCTCCGCTGCGTTGAATCAGATCCTCTTGGGGGGTATATTCGTTCTCAGCGGTAACAAAGAACACATGCTGTGGAGAGACCATGCCTTCAACAGCTTGCTTAACATGTATGAGACCCAGTTAGATGTCGACGCTCAAGGCTTTCAAGTGCTTCGTGTTGCGCAACCTGGAGTTCTGCAGCAAGGGCCTCATTCGGTATATGTCGGAGAGATCGAACAGCAGGATCCCGAAGGCGAACAACCCCAAGCTGTACCTCCTGAAAGACTAGATGCCGCAAGGACTAGTAACATCAAGTTTGACGCTCAGGTCCCCAAGCCCGTTCAGGCTTCCCTTGGTCGACTTCATCAGAACCTCGGCCACCCAAGCAACCATGACCTAGCGAGACATTTGAGACTTGCTGGAGCTGAAGAACATGTCATACAAGCATGCAAACATCTGCGTTGTCAGGTTTGTGATCGTGCTAAGCAATCAGCTTCAGCGAGGCCTGCGTGTTTGCCATCTTTGTTGGATTTCAACCAGCTCGTGAGCGTCGACGTTTTCACAGTTTTCGATGCAGCCCAGGTGAAACATTCGTTGCTGTCCGTCATAGACCATGCTACAACGTTCCATCTTGTCGGAGAGCTTGAAGGGCATTCTGCCGAAGCCTTTGAGCGGAAGTTCACTCAGATGTGGGGATCTGTTTTTGGGGCACCAGGAACAATTGCTGCAGACTTGGAAACTGGTCTACAGGCCGGGCTGGCGAACTATGCTGAATTCCATGGATGCCGGCTTCGCCCCGCTGCAGGCCAGGCCCATTGGCAGCAAGGACTCATAGAGCGTCATGGGCTCTGGTATCAGGCCATGCTCAGAAAAGTCATAGATGAGAAGTCCATCGACGCTAGCGACCTTTACTATGCCTTGCAAGCAGTGAACTCAGCTAAGAACGAGCTGCGCCGGAGACATGGTTTCTCACCAACCCAAGCTGTGTTCGGAAAAGATCCCAAAATCCCAGGAGAACTGTGCGCTGGCGATGACGAAGAACGATACCTGGAAATACTTTCACATGATCGCCAACGACAACGGGAGATGCATATTCGTGCCTCGGCCAGGATCGCCTTTTACAGAACACAACTTGATTCGAAGCTTCGTCGTGCACTTATCCAGCGGGCTCGAGTTAAGCGTGGAGGGTACTGCGTCGGGGAGTTGGTGTGCTTTTTCAGAGTTGACAAAGGAGGGACAAAGTCCAACTTCAAACGAGGTAAGTGGCGGGGGCCCGGAACGATCATTGGACATGAAGGTGGTAACTGGTGGGTTTCCTTTGGTGGGCGGTGTCATCTTGTTGCTGAAGAACATCTCCGTCCTAGCACTTCTGAAGAGCTTGGAGAAATCCTAACCACCAGGATTGCCCGCGATGATCTTGAACGACTTCTTAACCTAGATCCCGATGACCCCGCTACGTATGAAGATGAAGATCATGCTGACGACATTGATGCAGACGAAGGACAAGAACAACTTGAGGGTGATGAAATGGATTTTCAGTTCGATCTCGAACCCGAGGATTTGAAAGATGAACTCACTGCAGAAGATAGGCCTACCAGCGAGCGACGAGGACTCGAAGCTCCTGTACCTCCTCCTGTCCCCAAGAGAGTTAGGAAGAAAGGGCCTGGAGTCCAGTCGGTTCACATGTTAAAACAATGCCGTACAGCCAGGTCCCTCGAAAAACAATACGAGAAGGAGATCCCCTGGGCAGTAATCCCACCAGAACAACATAGTGCCTTCCGACAAGCAGAGGAGAAACAGTACGACGAACACATCAAGTATCAGGCCCTGGAGCCTTTGTCGCTCGAAGAAAGTGCTCGTGTTCGTGAGTGTGTTGACAAAAGTCGTATCCTGTCTTCAAGGTTTGCCTACAAAGACAAGAACTGGTCCCGGCGGAAGCTTGATTCTAGTCTTCCTTGGAAACCGAAGGCGAGGATCGTCGTGTCTGGACACCGCGATCCAGATATCGGTCTCCTAGACACCGACGCGCCTACCATCAACAGACTATCGGTGCTCACCATCATGCAGCTTGTAGCAAGTCGGAGGCAATCTCATGGGTGGGAGGCATCAGCAGGCGACATTACTGCAGCTTTTCTCAACGGAGATGCTCTGGAAAGGGTCTTGTATCTCAGACAGCCCCGTTCAGGTCTTGCTTCTCTACATCCAGACCAACTGCTACGAATCACCAAAGGTATCTTTGGCCTTCCTGACAGTCCTCGCAAATGGTGGAGGCGCTTCCGAAAGGACATGTTAGCAGTGCGGCTAAGTGTAGAGGGCGTTGAGTACAAGTTTGTGCAGAATGCGCTTGACCCTTGCCTTTTTCAGCTTGTTCCGTCCGATAATGAAGCTAGCGAACCGGCAGCGTATGCCGGAGTACATGTCGATGACATCCTGGTTGCTGGCGACAAGAAGATGTCCGAAGCTATTCGCAATGCCCTCTCGAGCATCTTCCCAGTCGACGACTGGGAGATCAACAGCTTCGACTACATTGGAAGCCACATCGAGGTGAATGACTCAGGTGTCTTCATCAGTCAAGAGGCATATGCTGGAGGGCGACTGTTCCAAATCGACATCGGCAAGGGGCAGGAAGATGAAGAGCCTGCTTCTGAAGAACAACGAATCGACAACCAGTCTCTCATCGGCGCCCTTTCCTGGCTTGGATCCCAGAGTCGTCCCGATATTCAATGCTCAGTTTCGCTTGCACAACAACTCCAAAAGAACCCAAGCGTTGCTGACCTGAAGTTCACCAACCAGATAGCGCGACGAGCGTGGGATCACCGAGACAAAGGGATTTGGCTACGACCTTTGAAACTTGAGAGCCTGGAGTTTTTAGTGTACCACGACTCGGCATGGGCGAATGCAGAGCTCACGGGTGAGGATGGTTTCCGCCTCGAGTACGAGGACCATGTCAGCGGCGTCATGAAGAATACACCTTTTGACATCAAAGAAAGAAAGGCCAAACGGGCGAATTCCAAGGTCGCCAGCCAGTTCGGAATCCTCATCTTCTTGACCGATGGAGAGCAGTACTCAGCTGGAGGAGGCATAGGAAGCATCCTTGACTGGAAGAGTTCGGCAAACCCTAGGGTGTGTCGCTCAACGTTCGGGGCTGAAACCACAGGCTGTTCCGAGGCCATCGAGATGGGGCAGTATGTGAGATCCTTTGTGCAAACAGTGCTGCGCGGCCGCCTCCAACGTGTACAGGACTTGAGCGGCAGTCAGCTGAAGTGCATCACGGATTGCAAATCACTATTCGACCATTTGCATCGAGAAGGCATCCCAAGGATCCCTTCAGACAAACGTCTAGCCATAGATCTCGCTGCGTTGAGGCAATATCTGTGTGAAGAGCAAGCCAATGGCAAACCTCCACTCTTTTGGGTCCTCACCGAGTTCCAACTTGCTGATATCCTTACCAAACCTAAGTGTGCTGATTCATGGTGGGCGACCGTGTGGGGAGCAGTGAGACTTCCATTTATTTCCAAGGATGCGACGAAGCATCGTTGAAGGGGGGAAGAGAATTTTTAAGCAGTGATAAACCCAACTTTCTGCAAGGCGTCGACGAGATCCGCCCGCAGGCTTTTGGTCAGAGGAAAACGTGCGCGAGGTCGTGCACAGCAGGCGGGGGCCCCGAGGGTCTTCTTTCGGTTGGGGTTCGGTTTCGTTCTCTTTGTTTTTTCACTAAACCCTATAAACCCTAAACCCTAAACTGGCCCTAAACCCTAAACCCTAAACCCTAAACCCTAAACCCTAAGCCCTAAGCCCTAAGCCCTAAACCCTAAGCCCTAAGCCCTAAGCCCTAAACCCTAAACCCTAAACCCTAAACCCTAACCCTAAACCCTAAACTTGTGGTTTTTCCGTGTTACGCGGGCTTTGCAGTGATGCGTTCGGGCTCCGGCAGGGTTTGGGATACCAAGGCTGGGTCTTATGGCGACATGGGTTTAGGGTTTAGGGTTTAGGGTTTAGGGTTTAGGGTTTAGGGTTTAGGGTTTAGGGTTTAGGGTGAAACGCCCATCGGGCACTGACCGGGTTTTGCAGCGCTGTGGGGGCTTTTTTATACACACACACCTACACCTGTACAAAGCCCGTGTGCGTTTCTAGTATGTAGTTGGGTCCTAGAGCTACTACATAGGAACCCCAAGGCCCCGAGTACATGCTGCACAGGTGCATGGACCCTCATGGACATGCGGTGTGGGGGCTGAAGACGGCCGACTGACTAAAGAGGACTGAACATCGCTGCCTTCTTTGAGAGCACAAGGCCCCCCCCCCCCCCCAAAACCTTAAAGCCCCGTGCCTTTATGTAGCAAGGAAAGGCAATCCCAACAGCGTGTGGTGATTTCCCTCAACCATGGTCCTTTTTGGGGTCCCTATTCTAAGGCGGCCCCTCTTAGTTAGGGTACCCTAAGAGGGGAGAATAATTATGTCCGTCTCGAAAGAAAGTGGGGGGGGGGGGGCCCATGATTAACATTGCTTGGTGAGCACGGCGCGCCCACTTGAAGGCCTTGGCCTTCATGTTTAGGGTATACGGCTACGCCTTTTGGTACCGGGTTCCCCCCCCCCTCCCCCTCCCGCCCATCCCCCTGATCCCCCCCCCCCCCCACACACAGAAAAGAAACCTGCAAAAACAGCATTTAGTGGTGTTCACGTTGCGGGCCTTGCCCTTCTTACGCCCACAATCTAAACTCCCTAAACCCTATCCTCTCTCCACACAGCAGGTAGGTGCAGGACGTCGAGGCAGGGCGGTATGCAGTCCTCGGCTCCCAGCGGCCATAGCTTTTGCGGTTTCGGATTCCGGTTCTGGGTTTCAGGGTTTCGGGGCTTGGGGTGTAGGGTTTTGGGGTTAGAGGTCAGGGGTCCCAAAACAGTCTAAAGACCCAAAATTTAAGTTTGTCCCTGCTGGCTTCTATGCAACCATTCGGAGTCTCGGAAACTGCCGAACACTAAACCCTCCTTAAGCCCTGAAACCCAAACCCCAAACCCCAAACCCCTAAACCCTGAACCTCAAAGCCATAAACCCCCAAACCCTAAAACCTGACAACCCACAACCACTAAACCCGACACCCCTGCAGCCTATGTCCCAAAAGTACCAAGTGAGGCCCAGGTGTTCCGCGTGTTTCAGGTGTCGAAGTGTTCCACGTCATCAAGTGTCCCTGAACATATTCGACATGTGAACTCTAAGCCCTAATCCCTAAACCCTCAATCCTTCGAACTGCTTTGGCGTGGTTTGGGCTGGCTCCGGTTCGGCTCGCTATGAGTAGCACCCAAAACCCTAAAGCACTCAGCCCTAAACCCTACAGTAAACCCTAAACCCCTGAACCCTAAACCCCTGAACCCTAAACCCCTCAACCCCTGCACCCCTGAAACTCCATACCCGAAACACAAACAGCCCTGATACGAAAACCCCTAAGTTCCGAAACCCTAAACCCCTAAACCCCTAAACCCTAAACCCTAAACCCTAAACCCTAAACCCTAAACCCTAAACCCTAAACCCTAAACCCTAACCCTATAGGCCCTAAACCCTAAACCCTAAACCCTAAACCCTAAACCCTGGCCCTAAACCCTAAACCCCAAACCCTAAACCCTAAACCCTAAACCCTGAACCACCCCAAGCTCACTGGAGTGCCCAGTGTCGTCCGGCTCCCAGGTCGAGCCTCTAAGGCGGTTCAGGGCGTTGTCCGAGAGTGAACTTGCCATTGAGGGTTTAGGGCCTATAGGGTTTAGGGTTTAGGGTTTAGGGTTTAGGGTTTAGGGTTTAGGGTTTAGGGTTTAGGGCCTATAGGGTTTAGGGTTTAGGGTTTAGGGTTTGGGGTTTCGGGTTTAGGGTTTTGGGGTTTCGGGTTTAGGGTTTTGGGGTTTGGGGTTTGGGGTTTCGGGTTTAGGGTTTGGGGTTTATAGGGTTTCTAGGGTTTAGGGTTTATAGGGTTGGGGTTTATGGCGTTTATGGGGTTTACAGGGTTTACAGGGTTTACAGGGTTTATAGGGTTTATAGGGTTTAAAGGGTTTAGGGTTTGGGGTTTAGGGTTGGGGTCCATGCTTTAGGGTTCAGGGTGCAGGGTTCGCAGTGCAAAATGCCAAGCAAAAAAATAGATTTAGCATTGGGTTGCGGGCCGCGGGGTCGTGTCAGAAATGTCGGACAGGGGAAGCACCCCTCCATACATCAGACTGTTGAGTTGCTGCTAAGCCCCGGCCCCTCCAGATCGCCAGTCGTTCTTAGAGTCAGAATACTTCATGGGTTCCCCTACTGCCCCTACTACCCCCCTCTACACTACCCCCCCCCTAGGTTCCCCCTTAATAGCCTTAATTAGGCTTAATTATCCTTAAATGGCTTTAATTATGGGGGGAGCCTAGCGGGGGTAGTTGCAGGTCCAAGTCCAACCTCCGAAACCCAAGATCTAAAACCAAGACTTCTATGCCACCTCGATCCAAGTGTACACCTTTAGGGTAACCCTTATACGTATACCCTTGCAACTTCATTGTTGAGTGTGCTTGCCCTTGGTTTTAACTTCAAGGCTCCTCCTTTTACAAGCACTGCTCGGAAAGGTGCGAATGCAAACTCTCCAAACCCTAATTAACCCTAAACCCTAAACCCTAAACCCTAAACCCTAAACCCTAAACCCTAAACCCTAAGCCCTGAAGCTTAGACACAGCATGCACGAGCCTGGTTCGTCGCCGCGGTTCTCGACTTTGGCATGGTCCGCCTGGCCCCCACAATCCTACATCGTAAGCCCTAAGCCCAATTTTCTCACGTAAAGGTCAGAAGAAAGCTGGGGCGAAACCCTAAACCCTAAACCCTAAACCCTAAACCCTAAACCCTAAACCCTAAACCCTAAACCCTAAACCCTAAACCCTAAACCCTAAACCCTAACCCGAAACCACCACCGCAGCCCCCTCCCCCATCCACCCTTTCAAAGAACGCCCCATCGCTGGATGGCCTTGTTAAGCGGCTTCTTCCACTGCACCTTCCCCGAGGTCATGGGTGGGATGAGACGTTGGGGCCTTAAGGATCGGGAGTTTCTAGGTTCCGTTCAACTGAAGCTGGATTCAGGGGCCTCTGGAGTCTGGAAGAGGGTTTAGGGTTTAGGGTTTAGGGTTTAGGGTTTAGGCTTGCTTATTAGGGTTTAGGGCTACCAGAGAATTGAGGCATTGCTGGTTGGGAACATCAATCGGCATTCGGAAACGAAGTGCTGGTATGTCACGGGGCCCCCATAGTGATGTCAGCGCTGGCTTAAGGTCAACAAGAAATCTCACGCACGCGCCCCCACTCTCGGGCGCGCTTCCTTCCGAGGACTTCCAGCAATTCACTGGGCATCTAATCTGCAGGCGGACTCGCCCTCACAGCCCTATAACCCCTAACCAAACCATCGTCAACTCCCCTAAGCCCTCAATTAACAACCCCTATAGACTCCATAGACCCAAAACCCTCCTTACTCACCCGGGCATGTTGTCCCTTGGCCTGGTAGAAGTCCTGGTAGAAACCACCGCGCCTCTATGGGGCTTCTTGTAGGGGCTATGGGTTTTACAAGAGTTTCTAGAAGTCTATATGGCCCCACTTCTCTAAATTATGGGGTTACTGCTGTAAGGTTTTCGGTTCATAGGGACAGAGACCATCCTAGATAAGGTTCTCCCTCCCCCTCCCTCTCCTCCCTTCTCAGGGGCTTCTGCGGGTTTCTTCAAGCCGGTCAGGCAGGCTGCGCGTTTTTGGTTCAGAGAGGCCCTGAAAGCCTCCTGGGAGGCCGCCTGGGAAGGCGCCATGGGACTCCTGCACACAGGGCTCTGAGACCTTGGTCCGTACATCATCCCTTGCAAGGCCAAGGGACGAAGGCGCCAGCCAAGCCCCCAACACTAAACTTCAGACGTCAGGTGTTTTCGCTTGTCGCTTCCAGGCCAAACGACCTAGGGATTTTCAGAGGCCTCACAAGAATAACATGCTTATAGCGTACACCACAAGAATGATATGCATGGGCACGATCAGAAAGCAAGGAAACCAAAAACCCGAAGATGTCAAGGCGAGGCTGGAGCGCATGCGGGTGTGGGGCCCAAAACGTGCGCGCATGCGCGCATGCGCGCGCGCGCGCGCGCGCGCGCGCCTGGGTGCTTGTAGCACCAGTGCGCCCCCTCAATGAGACACCCTAAACCCTAAACCCTAAAAACCCTAACCCCTAAACACTAAACCCAGTTTTGGCCGCTGAGTCGGGCTTTGGCCCCCCTTAGGCGGGGAAGCTCTCGAAGAGAACGCTTGTGGGAATGGAGCTTCTGGCTCTCACTGCTGTAACAGAGCATGTATGTCGCTGTAGGGTTTAGGGTTTAGGGTTTAGGGTTTAGGGTTTAGGGTTTAGGGTTTAGGGTTTAGGGTTTAGGGTTTAGGGTTTAGGGTTTAGGGTTTAGGGTTTAGGGTTTGGGGAATTTGCCTCACGAAAGACACTGCAAGTCTGAGTCCCGAAAAGACCCCTAAGCCCTAAACGCTAAAAGCCCAAACCTGTGCCGCTCAGAGTGTCTCTGGGTTTGTTTCAACTTATAATTTTCGGGTTTAGGGTTTAGGGTTTAGGGCTTAGTCTTTGGGTAGAGAGCTGATGTTCGGAATCCCCCACATGAACCCCCTGAACCCTAAACCCTAAGCCCTAAACCCTACACCCTAAACCCTGAACCCTAAACGACAAGCACCGTGATTCTTGTTGGTGGGATCCCGGCTCGTGGCAAAACGCTTCCCAAGGTGGCCTCAGCCACAAAAGAGATGTTTAGGGTTTAGGGTTTAGGGTTTAGGGTTTAGGGTTTAGGGTTTAGGGTTTAGGGTTTAGGGTTTAGGGTTTAGGGTTTAGGGTTTAGGGTTTAGGGTTTAGGGTTAGGGTTTAGGGTCTAGGGTCTAGGGTTTAGGGTTTAGGGTTTAAGGTTTAGGGCTTTAGAGTTTTCGGGTTTTTTTCTGGGGCTTTTTTAGGGCAGGGGGATCGAGAAACCGATAAGAGGGTTCAGGGTTTAGGGTTTAGGGTTTAGGGTTTAGGGTAAACCCTACACCCTAAACCCAAAGGCCTAATCTGGGGTGCAATCTAGGTGGCCAATATACAAAATACAAGGGTTCGCGGGCTACGATTGGATTTAGTAGGCCCATGGCGCTTGGAATTCCCTCAACCCTCAACCCTGAACCCGGATCCGGCTTGTTGGGGGTTGTTGGGTTTTGGCTCCCTCCAAACCCTGCCTGTAGCCGAAGAAGCCTGCAGTCCAAGTGACGAAAATAAAGGACCGAAACCCTGAACCCTAAACCCTAAATACTAGACCCTAAACCCTAAACCCTAAACAAATCAGAAGAAGAGGTTTGAGCTCTTGGTGCTGAGGGCAGTGAAGTTGCATTTGGAGGTTCCGTCGACGGGCTCTGGGAGCAAAGATGCGGTTCCCGAAGCCCTAAACCCTAAACCCTAAACCCTAAACCCAAACCCAAAACCCTAAACCCTAGAATCACTCTTGCTGTGGCTCAGGGGGTTTAGGGTTTAGTGGTCTTGGAGATCTCCCAACGAAGCCAACAACAAAGGAGCTGCCTAAACCCTAAACCCTAAACCCTAAACCCTAAACCCTAAACCCTAAACCCTAAACCCTAAACCCTAAACCCTAAACCCTAAACCCTAAACCCTGAACCCTAAACCCTAAATGTTGACCCGTGGTCCAGCGTTTAGGGTTTGAGGTCCGAAGCCCTCAACTAGGATCCAGGGTTTAGGCTTTATAGGGTCTTGAGGGTTTAGGGGGTAGAGGGTTTGGGAATGAAGGGTTCAGGGTTTTGGGTTCTGCGGTCAACAAGGTTTACGGGAAGTCCCAGGTATTCCTTCAGTCGTCGGGTGCATGTTAACCCACGCTCTTCGCGGTCAACACAAAAAGGCCATGCCTATGGCAGGAAGCAACCACATGCAATCTCTAGACCTGCGGGTTTCTGACTATATGGCGGTCCCAATAACTACTATTTGCTTAAGAACCGCCAAAAAATATAGAAAATGATAATCCCTATTTTGCCCTTATAAGGAAGAACAATTTCCTCTTTTTTTTTTGGGGGGGGGCGGGTTCTTAAGCAGTTCGTAGATGATAGATGCAATGAACCACAATCCTGTTGCAGTGCCACAGCGTTCGAAACCCACACATCGAATCTGTCGCTGTCACACAGCGGCTGCAAATCTCCGATATACTCCGGTCACAGCAGTCTACCCTAAACCCTAACCTGACCCTAAGCCCTCAATCAAGAAACCCTAAATCCTGAACCCTGATCCCAAAAAGACAAAAAAGAAACCCTAAACCCCCCACTAAACAGCAAGATGTTGGCCTTGTGAACCGACATTGGAAACCACTTCATTGGTGTCATTGGTGTCTCCAAAACCATCCGCCGGCAGGACCTCATCGGACATCCTCGTGTCTCTTTCTTGGCGCCTCGTTTCTGGGTCTGCACAGCTCGCAGGCTCAGACGCGCCTTGCCTCGAGGTCTCCTCCTCTGCCCGTGTCTGGCCCTGGACCATGGCATCGAATAGCTGCGACCACCGCTGCTCGTCGGCGGAAGGCCTCCTAGTAGAACATTTGTTGCAATCCCTCCACCGCCCGGGTCGCCAGCAGAGCAGGTTACCCCAAACTGATGCCAAATTCGCAATGGCCGTTGAAGTAAACGTGATGTAGATGCCAGTCATAAGGGCTTGTCCATAGGTGACGTAAAACCAGGTGCCTATGACCAGGACAAAAAACACATAGGATTCCACCATGTAGATGACCGTTTCTCCCAACACCTGTGGATTGTGCCGAAGAAACTCGATGGCGTCTGTTTCCGTGAGGGCATCCCAGTAGAACAGGTTGAGTGCGCAGTAAACGATGCAGTTGATATTCGCAAACAAGCAAGCGATGCACAAGGATGCATAGATCCTCAGCTGGCCCTTTATAAACCCTCTGAAAGCATTCTTGCTTGGATATTACCCTCTTAAACCCAATAAGTAGAACCTCAAACCATCCCGAGGTCCTAGGATCTGTTGAAGATGAAGGAGGAGGTCCGGGTCCATGCAAAATCCTTGGGGAGACATCTCATGGCCTTCGATGAGAGCAGCTGCGACCGTTGTCATGACCAGGGATGTGGTGACGCCGATGTTCGTCCAAGCATTGCGTGCCGAGGTCTTGATGTCCTCTCTGGCGCAGTGCCGGAGCAGGCTGATACTGATCTTGACCTTGAAGAGATTTGAACACAAACCGTGCAAGAAGATGGAGGTTCCATACACCACGTAGGGGCCAATGAAGGAGCGAGGGCTGACGCTGTAGAGTGGCTCCTCGCCAGCGCTGCACGACTCTCCTGCCATTCCGACTTGGGCCTGAGATGCCGCGGCAGCCAACCGGCCTGTAAAACACCGTACTTGAAGACATTGGGGGGGGGGGGGAGGTGCGGGGCGCACTGCTGCTAGAATCCCAAGGGCCCGTGGCGCATACTCACCGGCTTTCTCTCTGGTTCCCCAACAACTCCAGAAAGGGGCTCAGAAGTGAACAAGGCAACTTGGTTCTACTTGGTCCCGCGATCTGAGGGTATGCTGGCCGCATGCCACTGTGGACAAAATACAAATCTGGGTCGTTGGGACTGCTAGTGCACCAAATCGAGCGTACTTAGATGGAACGTGTCTGAAAGACAAACCCCAAGCCCTAGATACCACAACTACAGGCCCATAAACCCTGCGCTTGCCCTCAACCCTGAACCCTAAACCCCCTGAACCTCAAACCGAAGTACCAGAGACCTGAATCCTAAGAGCTAGAAAAGCACGCTAAACTCCGTCTACCCATCTTTAACAGGGCCTAGTAAATACCTGGGCTTGCCGCCTTGGACGGCGAGGGGTGGGAAAAAGGTGTTAGCATCTGCGCCAGATTGCAGCAAACCCTCAACCCCAAACCCCAAACCCTAAACCCCTTACCCCTAAACCCTAAACCCCTACCCCTAAACCCTCAACCCCTCACCCCTCACCCCTCACCCCTCAGCTGAGCTGAGCCGCATGTAGCCCGTGATGTCAGAGATCTGCCAAAAGCCGTTCGGAGGCGCAACCTCCTAAGAGAGATGTCGGGTCCGGGCCTGATGTGATTGCTTCTTACCCTAACCCTAAACCCTAAACCCTCAACCTTGGGAGCGTTCGGGCTTCAGGGTCCAGATCTTCCGGATTCCACGCAACCGGGCTTGAAGGTGTTAGGCTTTCGGGGCTGTCACCCCTCCATAGACCCGATTGACCCCGAACGACCCTGTCTTTAGGGTCTAGGGTTTAGGGTTTAGGGTTTAGGGTTTAGGGCTTAGCAACAACAGCTCGCAAAGGCACCAAGGGAAAGTAGGGAAGTGCGTTACTGTTCGTTACTCGCTGACGTTCGAGGACTCAAGAACCCCTAGGGCCCCATTCAGAACACGAATGGCAAACACTGTAACACAAAGGTAGTTCCAAATCCTCATCCAGACAGCCTCAAGACATGTGAGATGCCATAAATGTGCCATAAATGTGCAACTGTAAGGGCTTGATTTTTTTCATGAAAGATATCAAGAAATGCCGCAGGGCCTGGTAAACCCACAGGCCTTGCCGCAAACCCTTACACAGTGGTGCCCGCCCGTCAGAGAGCACCCCGCCTCGCCATCTGAGACATTGTCCGTCTCTTTCCTGACAGGGTTTAGTGTTTAGGGTTCAGGGTTTAGGGTGCTAGGGTTTAGGGTTTAGGGTTTAGGGTTTAGGGTTTAGGGTTTAGGGTTTAGGGTTCGGTTTAGGGGTTCCGTGTTCAGGGTTCCGATGGCTTTAGGGGGTCTAGGGCCTAGGGTTTAGGGTTCAAGCATTAGGGCCCGTACCTTGAAGGTTCATGGGTGGTTAGAAGTAAGGTTGTAAGTACCATCAATAAGGATATAACCAGTTATATATATATATATATGTATATACATAGTTACCTTACTTATAGCCAGTTATATATATATATATACAAAGTTTCCTTACTTATAACCTTGCTTATAACTACCCATGAACCTCCAAGTAGGGCCAAAACGGGTCCGTGACCATGCGGGCTTTGGCTGATTACTTCCACCGCGCATGCGACACTTTTCCTGTACCCCTAAACCCTAAACCCGAAACCCGAAACCCTAAACCCTAAACCCTAAACCCAACCCTAAAGCCACATGTGGTTGGCACCTGTGCGCCGGCTGCTCTTTTCAATGGGTTCAGGCTTTAGGGCTTCGGGCTTAGGGCTTACTTAGTATTCCAGAAACCATGTTATCATAGTAAGGGTACCCCTTTTTGTTTTGGTTGGTTGCCTTATAGCAACCATATTATAAAGGTAAGGGTACCCTTTTTTTCATTTTTTTTTTTTTTTGGGGGGGGGGGGGGGTGGTTGCCAAATAAAGGGAGCCCAGACCCAAACAAAAGCGCAAAGGGTACTTCTGGGCTGCCTTCAGGTTTCAGGATTTTAGGGTAACCCTAAACCCTAAACCCCAAACCCTAAACCCTAAACCCTAAACCCTAAACCCGAAACCCTAAACCCTAAACCCTTACCTGGACTTCCAGGAATGTTTAACGCCCAATGTGATCTATAGTAGCCAGAGAAGCAAGCGGGAGCTGGCTTCTCTTCAGAGAGGCTTAAACCCCTACTAGTAAGCCCTATATCCTGAACCCGAACCCCTAAGCCCTAAGCCCTAAGCCCTAAGCCCTAACCCTAAACCCTAAACCCTAAACCCTAAACCCTAAACCACCCTGCAACAACCGAAAGGGGAAGATAGCATGGGGAACCCAGGTGAATCGGACCGGTGACTTGCCTCTGTCCTTACCTCGTGGGCCTTAACTCGAACCTACTTTTTAAGGGGGTTTAGGGTTTAGGGTTTAGGGGGTTTAGGGGGTTTAGGGTTTAGGGTTTTTAGGGGTTTAGGGGTTTAGGGTTTGGGGCTATGATATGCCCATATGGGCTCATTACGCAACCTACAAAGACGTCGGGCTTGGGTTCTGAAGGGTAGGGGCTTTAGGTTTACATAATCAGGGTTTTAGGGTTCTAGGGTTTGGGGGGGGGGTTTAAGGTTGGGGGTTTTGGGGGTTGAGGGTTTTAGGGCTTTAGGGTTGAAGGCTCTGGGACTGAGGATTTGGGCGGGCGGGGTAGTGATTCTAGGGTTTGGGAGGTGGGGTGTAGGGGTTTGGGGTTCAGGGTTACACACACACACACATGTACGAGCAAATAATAAAGCAAGGGCCGGCCCTAAACCCTAAACAACAACCGACGGCCCTCTCTTCATCCATACGAGACGGGTGAGTGATCTGTGGCCTGTGCAGGTGGAGGGGAACGTATGGCGTTTCGCTAATCCCTCATCCTTAAAGCCCCCACCCACCTGTTTGTGGCCGCCTAAGCCTTAAATGTTTGGGCCTACCTGCTACAACAAACAAGGACTAGGGTTTAGGGTTTAGGGTTTAGGGTTTAGGGTGTAGGGTGTAGGGTGTAGGGTGTAGGGTGTAGGGTGTAGGGTGTAGGGCTTAGGGTTTAGGATTTCTCAAGCCACCAAGCCCCCCACACATTCGTCCGCCGATAGTCGTGCGACTTGTCGTCCGCATCCAGGAAACCCTTTCCTGAGGCAAGTGGGGAGGGACCCCCTGAAAAAGTTAAGGGTTTAGGGTTTAGGGTTTAGGGTTTAGGGTTGCGCCCCGCTACCCCTCCCCACCCAAATATTCCCCCCTCCCTCTCCTCCCCCCCGCCGTTTGAGGTGGGGGGGGGGGGAGGTCATCACCGCACAGCGCACAACCATGAATGCCTTTTTCGCCCTCACAGACCCTAAACCCATGTACATATATGTGCATTTCCCCAAATAGGGGTACCCCTTGTATGCTATCATGGAATGGAGTTCCCGTAAAGGGAGCCCCAAAAAGGGTACCCCTATGTTCGGAAACCCCCCATATGTGTATATGTAGGCAACAGGAATCACAAAAACACGGATTTTGCATCAGATTGGGTATTAGGGTAGTTTATGCTATGGGTGTGTAGGGATTCAAGGGGACAATAGTGGTATATACTTCAACCCGAAACCCTAAACACCCTAAGCACAGAACACAGGTCATGCACCTGAACCCCGAAACCCGAACGGTTTAGGGTATAGGGTTTAGGGTTTAGGGTTTAAGGCTTAGGGCTTAGGGCTCAGGACTTAGGGCTTAGGGCTTAGAGTTTACCTACAACCCCCCGCTCCCCGAAGAGCCTGTGACGCAGGTGCTCATCAGCTTCTTCTCGACATAGAGAGTGCCATGCAACTTCCTGGGTTTAGGATTTAGGGTTTAGGGTTTAGGGTTTAGGGTTTAGGGTTTCGGGTTTAAGGTTCAGAATACTTCTGGGCTAAGAGACACGAGTGGGTAAGACATAAAGGGAGAACCCTTGCAGCTTTTGTGAGGCTTGAGAACCCCCCACCCCCCGGCCGAAAACAAGAAAAAAAAACTCTATCACAGAAGTGTGGGGGCGGGGGGGGCGGGGGGGAGGGGGAGTTTAATTAGGGTTTACGGACCCTAAACCCTAAACCCTAAACCCTAAACCCTAAACCCTAAACCCTAAACCCTAAACCCCAAACCCCAAACCCTAAACCCTAACTCGTCTCATGGCCGAGGCAAGGACTTGTGCTTCTTGCGCTCCTGCGCCGAGAGGGGACGGAATCGCATGGGATTTCGTGTTTCGCGCTTCGGGCAGAAGAGTAAGGGCCCATACGCCGCCTTTAAAGAACCCTAAACCCTAAACCCTAAACCCTAAACCCTAAACCCTAAACCCTAAACCCTATAAAGAAGGTAAGGGAACAAACTTTGGGGCCATGTAGCGAACCTTAGATGTAGGGTACTGCAGGGCTGAGGGCTTGGGGGTTTTGGGCTTCCTTGTCGAATCAGCGCAGCTTACAGACGGTTTTAGGGTTTAAGGAACAGCTTTGCATGTATAAACGAGTCTGTCGGGCATTGAAATACAAGCGATCATGTGACATCATGTGCTGCGCGTGGAAATATTCTCTGTTCGTGCATGTTTTGTGTATAGCACTGATCATGCAGTTTCAGTTCCGTCACAACCTGGCATACGCGATTGAAAGTAGGTCAGTGTTGATCTGAAGCTCTATTGAGGTGACGTCAACAACTGGTCTTCGACTCTCACATGCTTAGAACCCTATACCCTCAACCCTCAACCTCCGCTCCGGTACCCTCAACCCTAAACCCTAAACCCTAAACCCTCAACCCTAAACCCTCACCCTATCTGGACTGCAGCGGCCTGGTTCAGGGTGTTGCGGTAGCGGTCGTTGAACCAAGTTACCTTGGGGTCATCTTTCGCCTCGACGGCAAGAAGAAACCGACTGCTCCAAGAGTGTACAAAGCACTCAATTGGTGCCCTAGGGTTTAGGGTTTAGGGTTAGGGTTTAGGGTTTAGGGTTTAGGGTTTAGGGTTTAGGGTTTAGGGTTTAGGGTTTAGGGTTTAGGGTTTAGGGGTGAGGGTTTAGGGTTTAGGGTTTAGGGTTTAGGGTTTAGGGTTTAGGGTTTAGGGTTTAGGGTTTAGGGTTTAGGGTTTAGGGTTTAGGGTTCAGGGCCACCTTGACATGTTGCTAAAAGCCTCAAAGCACTCAGCCCTGACTGATCTTAGTCTTAGAACTTAAACATGCCAGCAACCCCCCCGCCCCCCAACACCACCCGTGGGGCATGAATGGGAAAGGGAGGGTTTAGGGTTAGGTTTCAGGGTTCAGGGTTTAGGGTTTGGGGTTTGGGGTGTAGGGTGTAGGGTGTAGGGTTTAGGGTTTAGGGTTGGCTACAAAACCCTGAGCCCGAAACCCTAAACCCTAGACTAGGATGTGGGGCTTCCACCCTGCAAGATCACAAAGCTTGCTTCCATCCCCAACCACCCACCAAAGAACGAACCCCACTCTCTACACCCTAAACCCTACAAGCCTACAAGCCTACAAGCCTAAAGCCTAAAGCCTAAAGCCCAAAGCCTAAAGCCTAAAGCCTAAAGCCTAAAGCCTAAAGCCTAAAGCCTAAAGCCTAAAGCCTAAAGCCTAAACTGAAACCCTCCCTGCTAGTTCAGGGTGTAAACCTTAACAATCCTAAACTCGACACAGAGACATTGCCAGGTCCACAAGCCGTTTGCCTGCCTCAAGCTCCTGCAGGACGAGAAGGCCTGCGTCAGGAATCTTGGCTCAATTCCCTGGACCCTGAACTCCCCGCCCCCGAAACACTAGACCCAGGAGTAACCTAGGAAAAAAAAACGGGGTTTCAAGGGCCTTACAAGGGAACCCATCAACCCTACGCCCCTGAACCCCGAACCCTAAACCGTCAGCTTGGGAACCCTAAGCCCTGAACCCTAAACCCTGGGTTTAGGGTTAAGGGCTAGGGTTTAGGGCTACAGCCCTAAACCTTAAACGAGCGGAGTTTAGAGGTTCAAGGGTGAGGGCACGGAGGGCTGTCAGCAATGGATTGCGTTTTGGGCTTGCAGGGTTTACTTGGAGGTTCAGGGTACTTATTCACCATTTAGAACTGTACTTATAACTCACTTTTAAGCCCCTTAAGTGCCCTAAGATGGCTATACGTACAGCTACAATTGGTTAATAAGTAACCATGAACCTCCAAGTAGGGATTCTAGAGTTTAGGGGGTTGATTGAAGGGGCTCGGGCTTCGGGAGGCTTAGCAGTGTTCGGGCCGAGGCATCATGGGGTTGTGGCAGGGATGGTGGGGTTTGGGGATTTTGCAAACGATCTGGGTGGTCAATGAAATGGTTCTTGCTTGGAATTCAGCGATTCGAAGTATTTTGAACCTAATGATCCCATTGCGCCCCGAAACATCTGTAATCGAATGCATACAATGACTGCACAAGCTCTTCGTGCAGGATGCTGTTTTTTGCTCAACCCTAAACCGTACACCCCAAACCCTAAACCCTAAAACCTAAACCCTAAACCCTAAACCCAGAAGACCCAAACCCCTGAACCCTAAACCCGTGCCTTCGTAGTACGGCAGCATACGGCCCGTTGGCACCTGCTTGCGTGGAACGCAGGCTTCAGGAGGGATGCTGAACCGCAAGCTCTAAACCCTAAAACCCCCCTAAACCCTAAACCTAGGGTTTAGGGTTTAGGGTTTAGGGTTTAGGGTTTAGGGTTTAGGGTTTAGGGTTTAGGGTTTAGACCCGAAATCCTAAACCCTAAACCCCTAACCCCCAGGACGGACCTCGTGACTGCTGCCGTCCTCGCGCGAGACCATGGCGATGGGACCCTTCTGGTCCAGCAACGTCGCCTCTCCCAAGGGTTAGGGGTTAGGGTTTAGGGTTTAGGGTTTAGGGTTTAGGGTTTAGGGTTTAGGCCCTAAACCCTAAACCCCACCTAAACCTCTCTAAAGCCCCCTCTTAACCCTAAACCCTAAACCCTACACCGTCTTGGCCCTGCGTAAACCCTCAACCCTGCAGCGTTGGGATTCTTGCTCCAGCTTCTTTAAGCGTTTCTCTATCAAAGCGGAAAGATGCATCTTTTTCCGAAGATTCCCCCCTTAAACCCTAAACCCTAAACCCTAAACCCTAAACCCTAAACCCTAAACCCTAAACCCTAAACCCTAAACCCTAAACCCTAAACCCTAAACCCGAAGATGGCTTCAACAAGCCCAGCACGATGATGTCAACTGAAGTCAGACCAAGCCCTGCACCTTGAACCAGGGTTTTGGGGCTTATGGAGTAGGGTTTAGGTCTAGGGGAACCCCAAACCCCTAAACCCCAAACCCTAAACCCCAAACCCTAAACCCCAAACCCTAAACCCCAAACCCTAAACCCCAAACCCTAAACCCCAACCCCTACAGAATCCTGGCGACTACTGCTGGTCAAGGCTGTGGAGCTACGGAGTTCACTCCCTGGTGTAGCTATGTTCTCTGGGGTTTAGGGTTGAGGGTTTAGGGTTTAGGGTTTAGGGTTTGGGGTGTAGGGTCTAGGGTTTAGGGCTTCGGGGCGTCGACATCCCTAGGATGCCTAAAACCTTCAGATCTCCCGGTCTGGTGGCGGCTGCCTTGGACAGTTTGTTCAGGCGCGCCCTGGCAGGCCGCGAGCGCTTTGCCCTTAGGGTTTAGGGGTTAGGGTTTCGGGCTTCAGTGTTCAGAAACCCTAGACCCTAAACCCTAAACCCTAAACAGCATTGTTATGTTAGGGAGCATTGCATATGCATGTACTGCGTGAGGGAAGGGTGTGACAGAACAGAACACGCTTTCACCCTCTGTCTTTCCCAGGCTTGCCTTGAGTGCGGGTTTAGGGTTTAGGGTTAGGGTATTTAGAGCTCTGATTGAAACAGTTGGTCTTGGGGGCGGCCGTGCATTTTCAACACCCTGCCCTACTTGAGATATCTTCTCCACAGGGTCAATGTACCCATCCATCTGGTATATACCTGTGCCCTAACCCTACCATATAGGAACCCAAACGGGTAGGTGGACCCTAAACCCTAAGCCCTAAACCCTAAACCCTACATCGGCTTCAGGGTTTAGGGTTCAGGGTTTAGGGTTCTTATAACAGGGGTTAGAAGCTACGACGGTTTGTGATTTGGGCTTCATGAAATCCTACTTCTCGCAACCCATGAACCTTCAAGTATGAGAATTCAACTCGAAACCCTGACCCTAAACCCTAAACCCTAAACCCTAAACCCTAAACCCTAAGCCCTAAAGCCTAAAGCCTAAACCCTAAACCCTAAACCCTAAACCCTAAACCATGTTTCTGGCAAATGGGGGGCATCCTAACTCTCGCATCACGAGACCCCAGAGGGGCCCAATGCCCCTTAGGTGGTGAACAGGCTTCAAGTCATAATGTTTACGAAAGCTTTGGGGTTTAGGGTTTAGGGTTTAGGGTTTAGGGTTTAGGGTTTAGGGTTTAGGGTTTAGGGTTTAGGGTTTAGGGTTTAGGGCTTAGGGCTTAGGGTTTAGGGTTTAGGGTGCGAACATTTTCATGAATCCGTAGAGTCTGAGTCACCATGAAGATGGCCCTTAAAAGCCCTCTGAAAACTTGTTCCTGAATAGGATCCTCTTAAACCCAGAAAGGGAAAATCATCAAAATACCCCAAGGGCCTACCTGGACCTAGAAACCCCAAACCCCAAACCCCAAACCCTAAACCCCACACCCTAAACCCTAAACCCCAAACCCTAAACCCTAAACCCTAAACCCTAAACCCTAACCCTGAATCGAAGCCTGACCTCGTGTACAATTTCAAAGCCATCCTGTTCTCTGGGGTTAAGCTTTGGTCTCCCTTTCGGGCGCCCTTGAACTCGCCGGCATCCAAGACTAATTCAGCAGACCCCAAGCCGATTAGGGTTTCGGGTATAGGGTTTAGGGTGTCGGGTTTAGGGGTTCGGGTTTCGGGTTTGGGGTTCGGGGTGTGGGATTTAGGGCATACCCGGTGGCATACCCCTTAACCTACAAACGGAGCACATAAGGAAGGATGGTCCCACACCCCTTAACTTGTTTTAAGGGTATGCCCAAGGGGTAGAATACTTTTAAACCCTAAACCCTAAGCCCTAAACCCTAAACCCTAAACCTCAAACCCTAAACCCCAAACCCCAAACCCTAAACCCTAAACCCTAAACCCTAAACCCTAAACCCAACATCAGCCAAGGATCCCAACCATCCTGTCCATAAACCGCTCCTTCGATAGCTCCTCGCATCGGGTCTGCAGATCCAGGATTTCTAGGGTTCTGAAGGGGGGGGGGGGGTTCAAGGGGGGTATGTAACCCAAGGTTCACTTACTGTGAGGCACCCAAAAATCAGAGGCAATCAAAACTTGAGTCACAATTGGGAGGCACTAATAATTTCAGTCAAAAACTGTGAGACACTTAAACCTTGAGTTAAACGAAGCAAACTGGAAGGCACTTAAAACTGGAAGGCGCTCAACACGTGAGTTAGAATTGCAAGACAAGTTTTGACTTAAGTTTTGAGCGTCTCCCACCTTTTGACTCAAGTTTTGAGTGTCTCCCACTTCTTTGCTCAAGTCATGAGTGCTTGATTTTTGAGTGCCTGACGGCCAAGGCGCCCCTTACCCCACCAACCACCCCTAAACCCTAAAACCCTAAACCCCAAACGCTAAACCCCAAACCCTAAACCCTAAACCCAGTTTGTGGGGACTGTGCACCTGGCTCCTTGCCCTTCCTTCCAGCTATCGCACGCCCCCCCCCCCCCCCCCAACTACAGCTTGGTAGCCCAGTAACCACCTTATCAGGGCACCCCTTTTTGGGTTCAGGGTTTAGGGTTTAGGGTTTAGGGTTTAGGGTTTAGGGTTTAGGGTTTAGGGTTTACCTTGAAACAAAAAAAGGCTAAAGGGTACCACTGAACCAAAAAAAGCGTAAAGGGTACCACTGGGCTATCAGGACGGGCTTGCTGGAGGTTGATGCGTCTCGCGGCAGTCTCTCGGGGTTAGGTGTCTGGGATTAGGGTTGAGGGTTGAGGGTTTAGGGTTTCGGGTTTAGGGTTTAGGGTCCGCCGACCCTGGCGGCGTGTTGGATGGGAAAAGGAGGTGAAAACCTCCCTCT